ACGACGTTTAGATTTCTTTGTGGGCTTCACAACAGACACACTTGGTTTCTTGATTATTTTAATTATGTTGGTTTCTGTTGTTGTCCCAATGGCAGCTGAATTATAGAATGTTTGACTGAGCTTTAAATCACTTCGTTCGAGTTTGATTATTTCTATCGTTGGAAAAATGGAGTACTCACTACAAGCAGGTAATCCCTTTTCATCCACGCAGAGTAACTTATCCTCACGAATGTTCTTTGCAGGTACATTGTACTCCATACAGGACAACGCCTTTATATCCCCAGTTTTTTCTGATTTGACTACAGCACAACGAATCTCCCGTCCTTCTATGAATCTGTACAAAAACACAAACATGCTTCAGCACAAATACATTCATAACGAAAGATGTTTTCACGACAACCATCACTCTTTTGAAGGAACGTTTCCCACGTTTTGTTTCTTTAGTTATACCGTAAACGTCAGCTTATAAGTATAACCCACCCCCACCCCCCACAAAGCCAGTAAATTTCAAAGGCATTTCGATCAGCACAGCTTTGTTGCTCGATTTGAAAAGCCTTATACCAGATATAAGACCTCCTAAGACTCCTTACGAAGTTGTGTAAGCCCAGGGCTTAAAAGCGGAAGTTTATTTAGTAGTGACAATTTACCAGACGCTGATTCACAATTTCTTGACTAAATATTTATCATAGTGGATGCCCTTTCTGATAAAGATGTAACTTACCTTTCAATGATTACTTGGTTCGAATAAGTCAGCGCATGCTTAATAGCTACATCTAAAGACTGCTGGTCCTTTACCAGTCGCACTGATTTGGAATCTTCTCCTTTGCTTGCCTTGACAACACACGGGTACTTAATATGAGCAGATGGTATTGGGCTTCCTGTGACCAAAAAATACAGGGATCGACTGCTGTAATTACTTTGAACACTTTCAGCGAAATTGACCCCTCACCTCCCTCTCAAGAGAGCTTGCTCACAGGTCGCCCATGCGAACGTCACGTTCCGAGACTATAACCCAAGAGAGAATGCCATATCTTTCTAGCCTCCCACGCAGACGTTCTAGCCCTATTGCCTAACGTCTGCGTCGGAGGCTAATATTTTTTATTCCTGTTTGAATTCTAGCAAATAGTACCTTTGCTAAGGGTCAATCCCTCTGCACAAGAAACACTGTTGTAGGCCAGCAAAACACCCCGCGTCTTTAGTTTGTCCATGCAAAGGTATCGCGATTCAGCTGATCCACCTATAAGAGGAATATCCAGCGCTTCGAAAAGAGCCCTTTTAAAATGAGAAGAACAAGGGATCAAGAACAATACAGCATCACTTAGTCAAGGTAAACAAACTCATCATACGAGAGCAGTAGTTTTATATTTACCAGTGAAAATAAATTATAGTAATTAATGCATTAGGTTCGGCACATGAAAAGTTCGACGGTTGAAACGAAGTCGCTCCTCAATCGAAATTACCATGTGGCCCACTCGAACTAAATTCATGGGTAGACCCCAATTAGATATGTCGGACATAATTGATTCAAACGTCGATCATGTACTTAAGTGGAGGGATTGTCAATCGAGGTGTGCCCCAAGGCACTGTTCTGGGGCCTGTACTTTTTACCATCATGGTTAATGATGTAAGTCCCACCTCCCAGAACACCTTAATGACTAAATACGCTGATGACATTACATGTAGTATACCCGTTGGGCCTTATGTCAATGATAGTGCCTCTGAGGAGGTAGAGAATATTAAAGTCTGGGCAGAGGAGAATTTGATGAAACTTCAGTACTCTAAGTAAGACCGAGGAACTGGTCATAAGAGGAAGAACGACTTTGCCCCTTCCTCAGCCAATTGTTACCATTAAACGTGTCATATTTGAAGCTTCTAGGAGTGACTTTTCAGGATAGTCCTACCAACTGGGATAAGCATTTTGATGATTTGATGGAAAGAGCTCTAAAACGTATGCATATCCTTAGAGTGTGTAAAAGAAATGGTTACAGTGTATCTGATCTTGATTACCTCTTTAATTGCCTCATTATATCACTTTTTACTTACTGTATCAGAGTTTGGGGTGTTGCTGCTTATACCAAATACCTTAGTCAAATTGATAGGCTATTGAGAAGGGCCTTTCGATTTGGGTTTATTCAACATGAAACATCGATTCAACAGGTTATTAAAGACAGGGATGTGAGGCTCTGGAAAAGTGTTATGGGTACTTCCTCGCATCCCCTGCAGGGTCTTCTCCCCCCACTTAAGAACAGGGCTCTACGCGGTAGGTCGCATCTTTACCAGATCTCACGTGTTAATACAGAGAGGTTTAAGAAATGCTTTGTAAATAGACGTCTCTTTGATTCTAAATGGGTTGTAATTAAGTCTTAGACAATTGTATCTTCATTTATAATGGATCTTGTAAGTTTTAACGTTTGTTTAAAACTTTGAATCAAGACTTTTATTATTATTATTATTATTATTATTATTATTATTATTATTATTATTATTATTATTATTAGGTTCGGTAAATGAAAATTTTGACGTTTGAACTGGGCCTTACACACCTGATGTAGTGAACAAACGAACTTCTAGATACGTTTTAAAGGTTACCAATTTGTTTCAAATTAGCCTTTTTAGTCGAGCTTGTTAAGCAGAGCGAGACTCTTAAAATACAGTCGTTTTTTTTGTTTGTCGGTGGGACTTAGTTTGTAGGCCCCGCGTTCCAAGCGAAGACCGTGGAAACTGGGGATAAAAATCGTGACGACTTTCATTGTATGGAAATGAGTCTCGTGATGCGAATGTGGTTTATTTTCGGCGATGACTGAAATGACGCATGTAAGTTTGGCAATGATGTAATTTTCCTCGAATGGAGGCCCATGATTTTCGTGTAATTATGCACGACATGCAGGCACTTTAAAAAGGAAATATCCCCAAGATTAAAGCGGGGAAATCCTCAGGATTTTGTGGCTTTTTAAGGCTTGACTAACCGCACACTCTACTTGCAGCACTTCATGTCCATAGAATAGAAATCCCATATCGAGCTTTTCCGGAACGGGTTGGTCCAAGAATTCTATGGCTTGAAAGTGTTGATTATTTTGGAACAACTGATCACTTCAGTGGTCGAAAAAAAGGAATAATCTTAATGAGCAAAACTTCAAGGTTTACTGGAAAATCAGGATCGAGGATCGGGGATCGAGAAATCAGGGATCGAGGATCGGTTAAAAAGAACTTGAAAATAAAATAAATAAATAAATCGTGGATTAGTGGTGATGTGGGCCGCAGACTGTAGATAAATTTCACAGAACATAACCCCGTTCGCTGTACTGGAAACTAAATTTAAGTAAACTAATCCGAGTCTGTCTGAGTCAGTGATTGTTTTGACGAGAAAGTGAAATTTTCCTGGAAAATGAAACGCTTTATCCCGGTGATACTGTAATACAAGAAAAAACTTTAACAGTTTTTAATTTTTAAGGGTACATTTGCTTTCAGTACTCCTTATTTTTCTTGTAATTGTTGTATGCACGACCCCACCAGCAATGCTGATCTTTTTATCGTGCCGTAAACTAAGGTTCTTACCTACCCACTTACCTATCTATCTATCTATCTATCTGTCTGTCTGTCTGTCTGTTTGTCTGTCTGTCTGTCTGTCTATCTATCTATCT